ATCGACTTCTAATATACCAAGGACTTAAGCGTGCAAGGTACAGTTGCGTTATACAATGCGTTCGCCTGATAAAGGTGTCGAAGATTCAAGATTAGAATGTGACGAGCTCGAGACGACTATACATAGAATATAAAGAATATAGGGGTTTTAGCCTGAAAAGGCACCACGCCTGAAGTACCAAGCATGAAGCAGCAAAAGGAAAGTTTAGATGGCAATTTAGATGGTTATGTTAGAACTGGTGACGTTAGCGCACAATATACGTACAGCATAATACCGTACGCACCCAGTTACAATAACGATGTCATGTAGTATTTTACCACGTTTCACAGCTAGCTAGATCGAGAGCCTTACCGGTACAACGGATGGTCGACTTTTTGTCAGGTTAAACAGTCCATAGTGATGATTAATTGAGAGCATTCCCTTGTTTATCGTTGGCTCGAGCAGAAACTACTAAGCGCCAGCGTATGTAATGTTTAAGCTGCTTCTATGTGCAGATTGCTTCACTTCTATTGTCACTTTGTCGATTTCGTACGTCTATTCTGCTCGCCTTTAACTTGCCAATCGCTGCATTACTTGTAACGTTCTGAATGGCTTACATGTACAAAATTCCCCTTCCACTGTAGTAATGCCTCTTCCTGATATTAGTGTTTCCACCGAAACCTCTGATAGTCGCGTTGAAACTTGTCTAGAGTGTTCGCGACGGAGGCCATCTCCTTCAGCCTAGCTTTTGATAGGTCATCCATCACTAGATGCAGTAACAAAATGTCTTATATTTTTGAAGCCCTTTGGCGTCAAGACAGCACCAATCTTCTGCTATGCGTTCGTACATCAAATGTTGATAATGTCGTGATGTTGTGTAAATGAGAACCTTTCACATTTGGACTCATAGTCGGTTACGTACGACACGTAAGTCGCTAAAATGACATTTTCTAGATCTCTCGCCATCTCACCAGGCCGTATCTCTCCGAATTTTCTGATAACTCTTGGTACCAATTATATCTACACTTGACGCTATAAGCGTGACTATTTCTAGCTACAAACACGAGCTTTGGCATTCTACTTAAGTGAGTGTGACGAGCTCAAAATGACGACAGACTCAGCAGTCTCGAGCATGAGCGATCAAGTGCAGCTTGAATGTACGCATCAGGAGACCGATAAAGTTATAGGTGCTGCAGATACTCCTACAGCAAAGCTACGAGAGCTGTTCTTTCAAATGCACCGCCAGGAAAAAGGGGATGGAGCGGCGGATGAGGATGAGGACAACGATACGGACAGTAGCTACGCTATTGACAATAAGCCCCCCCTTCCAAAAGTTCGTACGTTTTCTATGCTGGATGCAGAATCTACTTCGCAATTAAGTAAGTACTTAGAGGATGAGGAAGCGCTACACCCACTCGTTGAGTCACTGGGTAGCGGAAGTTCACCGCGCGCGTCTGTTCTAAGTTCTTGTGGGTCAACTGTACCCCTTCCTCCACACAGCAAGAGTCTTATTCTCGATCCTGAGTCCAATGCATCTGTTCTCCAGGCTGCGGTTTCATCGGGTGCAGAGGTTGCGGAGGTCGTAGCAGAACAAAGCTGGCTTGTGACCAAGCTCGCGCTGCAGCTCATTTGGGCGCTGCGCATGTCCAAGCGCTGGATATTATGCGCGATTCGGTTGATTACGTTTGTAATCTTGCTATTGCCTGCAATTTTGAAAGTCGCTGTCTACTGGTTTGTAGATGAAAATGTGCACAAAAATATCATCTACGGACTTAATCGACGCAACCTTCTGGACGTATACGCAGTACCGCAGATCAAACATAATTTGGATGCGTCTTCTTCGACAAAAAGCGTTTCTAGCTCGACAAGTACGAGCTCAATAGAAGCAAAGTATCCTGTCGTTGTGTTTGTATCGGGAGGAGCTTGGATCATCGGATACAAAGCTTGGGGTGCGCTCATGGGTCGTGTATTAGCGTCTTTGGGTGTGGTTGTGGTCATGCCTGACTACCGTAATTTTCCTCAGGGCGTCGTGCCCGACATGGTCGAGGATGTGACACGCGCCATGCAATGGGTTTTTGATAATATACAACTATTTGGTGGCGATCGTGGCAATGTGCATCTTATCGGGCAGTCGGCTGGTGCACATCTTGCCATGTGTGCGCTGTTAGAACAGATTGAGAAGAGACGCAACGGGTCAGCGAATTCTACTAACAGCACTCTCAATGTCATGGGCAACTCTTCAGATTGTGAGAGTCTTGAAAGCTTGTCGCCGCTAGCTCAGCCGATTACGTGGGAACTGTGGCAAATTCGCAGTTTTATGGGTATCTCCGGGCCTTATAATATGGAAGCCAGCATTGCAACATTTCACCGTCACGGTTTCGATCGCACGGTGGTGGAGCGTATTATGGCGCATCGCTTGGCGTATTTCTCGCCGTCCTTACGCTTGTTAGCGCTTAGTGAGCTGCCGTCGCGTACCCGTCAAGCGTTGCTGAACGACTTTCCTCGGTGTATTTTATTCCACGGTACCGCAGACAAGACGGTAAGCTACAGATCGACTGAACAGCTCACAGCGGCCTTACGAGCGTGTGACATATCTGTATCCACACGCTTTTTTGAAAACAAGACCCACACTGACCCGATTATTGAAGACCCGATTGTTGGCGACGATTTTCTGTTGGACGTCGTCATGGCGGAACTTAAGGCACTAGCGCCATTTGACTCTATCACTGGCAAGCCATGCTATGAATTGGGTGTGCGGCCGCAGGAATCAAGGTATTACCCCAAGCTACTTGTGCGTTTGGCTCGTAAAGTTAATCCATTTTAATATAACGCACCATTTGGAGAATAAAGCACGATATATTTCTTTATTGATTAGCAAGAAAGAGGCAGTGAAGTACACAAAGTTCGGGCAAAATGTAGAATTGTTACTTGTTCATGCGATTCTTAAATGCGATGACAGCGCCAATGAGCAAAATTGCTAGCACACCCGCGACAGCCGGACCGACAAACGACATCAAAGTTGGTCCCTCGTGTTTTTTCTCATGCGATGCTGAAGCAGCCGAGTGTTCGGTCTCCGAAGCGTGCGATGGTTCCCCTGGAACAAATTTTTCGTGACTGGAAGAGCTGGAAGAGTTCAGTTGCTCACTTTCAGACAATGCGGCAGCATCTGAGAATTCCACTTGATTACGCAAAAGCCTTGAATTGTTCTCAACTGGAGCGTCAGCTGAAATGCGAGCAATGCTGTTGCTACAGGCAATGGTCACGACGAGCAGCAGCAATGTCGCGAAGCGAAAACGAAATGCGTTCATGATGAAAGGAAAATATTCTGAAGTGGACGTAATTGGCTTGTTCAGGTGTGTCGAATTGTCCGATTAGGAGTTTAAAGGCAGAGAGAGGCGGAACTTGTATTTTCCCAATCACATTGTTTCAAATGGTAAAATCGAGACAATTGTATGGAGAACTGACCAGTCCTCCAAATCTTGGGCTACAGATCATGGTGCAGTGTTTGTAGAGCTGCGAATTACGACGCGACAACCAGTAAAAGGAATTATGGCCCACAAAGTGTAGTCTGATGTATTCGGAAAAGCCTTAGAGACACAGGAAAGATGTGCACTTTATTCTTTAAGCTGATGAAAGTTGTCAGTGTGTCCAAGATGGATTGCACGCTTTTGTAACCTACGAACGAGTTTACACAACTCTCCACTCTTTAGTTGACGCAGCTTATCGCATTTGTGTGTATGTAAGTCGCGATCATTTTTTTTCGGGTCTACAATTACATGTATGCGCCTTCAACATAGTAAATCTTAATGCCTCCGACCAGAGTAGAACACGTCATATGATTTCTGTAAAACTCAATTTTTTCTTGCTATTAGCGTCGTCTAGTGGTGTGTTGATGGGTACAATCCTCGCAATGTCTACGACACTTTTCTTATCTGCGTTGTCTAACTTGGCATACAGGAAGAGAAAGAAGGCTAGTTACAGTAGATGAACTTAATTTCTGCGACGGGGTTGCCGCACAACTGCACATATGATTCAAAGATTTCGCGTTAATAACGCACAGAGGACGCTCCACCCATGTGCAAAGTGTACCTAGTGATATTTGTCTTGGATTTTGTTGATGGATGGATCGAGCGACAATATCATAGGTTCCTTACGTTTTACTGTCCCTTTTAGTTCATTGTTGCTTTGCTTTTTAAAGCAGAGTTTTTGAAGAGGTCGCGGTATCACATCGTCGAGGCCAAAAGTAACGCAAGCTGTAGTGTCAATTGCCCTGTCGATTTTGTGGTCTTTAACACTTTCCGGCAAGGCAAGTATTATGTCAGACATCACATAATCAGGAGTTTATTTCAAGTTATTCGCAACCAGCGCACAAGCGATGCTGCTGTAGAAAGTAACTATGATTAAGAAAAACACATCTCCTTCAGTGTTGTTTAGACCGTGAGTTGCTTTTGGCAGATTGTGGAGTGAAGGACACTACCAAAAATTTCGCTATTTTTTTGTGATAGAAGCCGCATGCCGCTAGGCAAGTTAGTATTAAAGCAGGTTGTTGGATTTGTTGGCAGTGAATTGATTTGCTCGTCAACTGCTGCTGTAAACTGCTGATTGGCCATGTAAAACTAAACAACATCAGTTAGCTGCATTAGCATGGTCAAGGAACCTGATAAAAACCACAATGTGATTCAAAGAGACGTCCAAACTTAAAAGACAACCCCACCAAGCGATCAAGAGAAGTAATGCGTTCCAGCAATGAGTGCAGGCGAAATAAGGCTGACATTGACAGAACCGTGTCACGATCAGTCATCTTGCAAAGCAAGCTATCGATACGCTTCGTCCCATCAGACTTGTATTAGATGTGGTGCAGACACATATATTAGCGAATAAAGAGGAGCTTGTTTATGCGCTTAAAGCAAACATGGACGAAACAGTCGCTTATAAGTACTTGACAGATTGCAAATATGGCATTCTCGAAAGCCACCTCGAGCTACGCTGAGAATAGTGCTTTATTTCAAGTGTACAGGTAATTGTGCTCGCTGCTGGCCGAACGGAACATCCTACAGACGTTAGATAGTATTCTTGCACCACCAGCTCCTGCAAAAAAGCCACATTCAAAGTTGACCAGATCAGCAAGCGCCATAACTACCGAAGAAGACTACGAGCGCTTCATTAATATTGGTGATATACACGATTATTGAATTAGCTACGCTTCTAGTAGTATACCACAATAAAAGCAACCACTTATGTCATGAATCTTTTAAGAACAATTTATCACGATATACATTTATTTTATGAAGACTTTTAGATAATTTATTTCTTTTAGTATCTAAGTACACTCTGTCCTTTAGGAAAGTCATAAGCTGATGCAGGTAAAAATAAAAATCTTCATATTGTTTCGTTGTCTCGTTAATAAATTTCAACAAAAACATTTTCTAGAAAGTCACTTGATTTTTCGACCGTGGTAGATGGTAGGGCGCTCAGAGACAAAACCAGAGCAGGAAAGCGACCATAATATAACGATCGCATTTCTGGCGAGAAAGCCCAGACAAAAGCAGCCAAATACGTTGTTGCGGTCTTGGTCGCTAAAAAAATGACCTTTGCAGGTGCTCATCAGCTCACCGGTGCTAACAAAACAGACAAAACCCTGCGCATTATGTCAAATGAGAATGCATATGCATCAGCAAGATCACAAAACAAAGTTTGCGCAACAAATACTAGTTTATCATGCTATGAAAAATGTAAAACCTGTTGTCTTAGAAAAGATAGCAGGTGAAATCACAATCACAATAGGGTATGTCGAGACCTCGTAGATACTGCAACAACAGAGAAGAAAAGGTAATAAGAAGAATGCTTTACCAGGCTTAAAGTTTTAAGAAAAAAAACAATGCTTTACATGCAATTGATGTAAATCTCGTCATTATCGAAATTTTATGGCTGCGCCTCTGATGCTGAGTATATAAAAAACGACAGATGTTTAAGTAATTCGTGATAAGAGTGTCACGGTGCGCAGGCGAGGAAACGTTGGCGGAGGAAGGCGAAGTCGTTGGCGCAAGGTGAGCGCT